GTCATTTAAATTTACGCCAAGAGCAAAATATTTTCGATACCCAGGTATAGTAACATAGCATAGTACTGTAAAAAAAACACAAAAATTATAATATAACACACAAATGGCCAATAATCTTGCAAATCAACAATCTCACCACCATCTCAAGTGAGTTTAACTTTTTGTTCCCCCTTTTCCCTTGTATTTTGTGACATAAAAGTTTACTCTGTGTAAATGAACTTACTGAAAATCAAGTGTGTTTTCAAATTAAATATGTGCTATATTGATCAATCCTTTTCATCTCTTTTTTAGTCACGAAAATGATAATTGGAAAAAAAATCTACGGTTACCACCAAAAGATAACCGACCACAAACAGAGGTAAGTTCCCATTGATTGTTTTATACAATATATTACTTTATATTTATTGATATTTCCTTTCAAAATAGGATGTAACCAACACAAAGGGTAATGAATTCGAGGACTATTTTCTTAAACGCGAGCTTTTAATGGGTATATTTGAAGCTGGATTTGAACGCCCGTCACCCATTCAGGAGGAATCGATACCCATCGCCCTAACCGGTCGTGATATTCTCGCAAGGGCCAAAAATGGTACAGGAAAAACGGCGGCTTTTGTTATTCCTGCCTTAGAGAAAATTAATGTTAAAAAACAGAAAATTCAGGCACTATTGCTCGTCCCAACTAGAGAATTAGCCTTGCAAACATCGCAAGTTTGCAAAACCCTCGGTAAACACATGGGGGTTCAAGTCATGGTAACGACAGGAGGTACAACGTTAAAGGATGATATTTTACGTCTATCTGAAATCGTTCATATTGTCGTTGGAACACCCGGCCGTATTTTGGATTTAGCTGGAAAAGGAGTAGCTGATTTTAATGAATGTCCGACTTTCGTGATGGATGAAGCTGACAAATTGTTAAGTCCTGAATTTTCTCCAATCGTTGAACAGTTATTGACATATTTTCCAAAAGATCGTCAAATAATGTTATACAGCGCTACATTTCCTCTGATCGTGAAGAGTTTCAAGGTAGGATAGGTGTATACACAGATTCTTAGATGTTAATATTTTAAAGATGAAATGATCAACACAGTAAGTTTTATTCGTATATGTTCCTTTAGGATAAATATCTTGTAAAACCCTATGAAATTAACTTAATGGATGAACTTACTCTTCGCGGTGTCACGCAATATTACGCATTTGTTGAAGAACGACAAAAAGTGCATTGTCTTAACACTTTATTCTCTAAGGTTTGTTACTATTTATTTTATTTTCTTATTTTATTCTTTTACAAGTAAATTTGACTTATTTATACTCAATAAATAGCTCCAAATCAATCAATCCATTATTTTCTGCAATTCCACTAATCGCGTTGAACTCCTTGCAAAGAAAATAACAGAACTAGGATATTCTTGTTTTTATAGTCATGCTAAGATGTTGCAAAGTCATCGTAATCGTGTTTTCCACGACTTCAGAAATGGGGTGTGTCGTAATTTGGTGTGTTCTGGTATGTGATAATAATATTATATATATATATATATATATATATATATAGGATTTTTGTAACTAAATTAATGTCTACATTTCGATTCATTTTACATTTAGACTTGCTTACTCGTGGTATTGATATTCAAGCGGTAAATGTCGTGATTAATTTCGATTTCCCGAAAAATGCCGAAACGTATCTTCATCGTATCGGTCGATCTGGCCGTTTCGGTCACCTTGGTCTCGCAATTAACCTTATTACATACGAAGATCGATTCAATCTTTATAAAATTGAACAAGAACTTGGAACCGAAATTCAACCTATTCCACCTGTCATTGACAAACGATTATATGTTGCTCCCAGTGCACTTGACGATGTCCAACCTCAACAACAACAACTTCACCAACAAAATAATCAAAACATTCGTAATCAAAACTCGCGTAACTCTGGTGGAATGAGGCATCCTAATTCGGGTCGATCAGCCATGGGTGTCAAATAGGGTTGCAGCCATTTTTTGAATTATGACATTATTACATAGTTTGGGTTTGGGATTTGGGATTTCTACTTAATTTGGGTTCATAACTAAAGCCCAAATATATCTCATTTTCGATCGATGTGTCAAACTCAAAAACCAATCAAACTTGTTAAACTAATGTTAATAAATACAACATATGCGCATTTAATATCAAATTAACAAAGAACGGATTTTATATGAGATCTGGATTAAGGTTGAATAGATATTCATATATTATAATACAAAAATGGACGGATGATTATTAATTTGATCGGCTTGATAAACTTTACATAATATAGGCTTTTTGTAGTAATAAGTTTTATTTAATGACCTTAAAAGAGGTTTAAGATATTAAATGGTCATGATCTAATGATAGGTATATAACTAAGATAATGAGTCAGATAAATGTTAGCATCCAAATTAACGAGAATTTTAATTGTAAAATTAATAATCATTATGCTTCAATTAACGTGTGTGAATAAATTAATAGGTATTATGCAATCAATGATCTTTATCTTCATTGACTAAAGTAACTCGGGTAAGATGAAATGCACGAGCAAAAAGAGAAAAAAATATGATGCTGTTTTTTTTATGCGTAGTATATTCGCTAAATAAACCAATTATTGAAAAAGCCTAATTTGAATCATTTTGCTTTTAATATGATAACATTGTAAAAAGTTAATATTTCTATAACAATAAAGATAAACTAAAAATACTTGCTGATATGTTTTATAAAATTAATATTAAATAGAACTTAGAAGGTATAAAGCTGTTTCTAGCAAATAAAATTTTAGAAGATTTCTATAAGCAACAACTATCTTTAGTAAAGATTATTTATATAATCATACAAGTGTTAGCAACTAGTCAGTATTTATTAATATTTTTTTTTTAAAAGAAGAAAGTTTATATAACTTATATTTTTTTTATTACAAAATAATTACATATTACTGGTAATTATCATCAGTGATTTACAGGTGTAACATATAAATCAAAGTGATTTTTTAAAATAAAAGTTTAGTTTTTTTAATATTAGAATAAGAATAAAGATATGATGTTAGGATTAAACAAAAATTATAGTAAAATTTTGCAAAAAATTTTTTTTGTTAAGGTTCAAAAGGTGATTTCATAGATAAAATTTTAAGATACAATTAATTTTTTAAAAATTCTTTGTTTTTATTATACAAAATTGATTTATACATTACATCTGAACTTGTAAATTAATTAATTAATTATATATTAATGATAATCATCAGTAGTAATAAATAGCAACTTCTTTTTATTAATTTACTTATAATTTTTATTTTTTTTACAGTACTATGCTATGTTACTATACCTGGGTATCGAAAATATTTTGCTCTTGGCGTAAATTTAAATGAC